GCCAGCATCTATTTGTCAGGTCAAATTGTTAAATTTAAGGACCATTCTCAATGAAAAAAAATCGTTAATTGCTGCCGGTCCGAACCGACCCTTCAACATTCAAAATTTCAAAATATTTGTTAGGACCTTTAAATATAGTCTATGTTCTTGTAAATTGCCTGGTAGTTGGTTGCTTATTTGCCAAAATTAACAATAGGTTAGGAACTTCAATATACCGAAAATTAGGCAGGGCATTTCTATGAGAATCATGTGAAACATGGACCTATATTAGACAGTATGGCAGTAGTTTTTGTACTTCTTTATGGGGGCCATGCCAAATTGTAGTCACTTCGGTGGGAAAATTCTATATTGATTATTTTCTCCAAACACCCTGAATGTTAAATTACAGCCACATTAATTTGAAAATGCAGCAACAAACTTCAAAATACCCATTTTGGCACAGGGGCCTTCATGTTTGCGATATGTCAAAACATGGACCTATATTTGAAATGTCCGCAAAAATATGTTTCACCCTCCAAGAATTTAAAGTTTGTCTTTCACCGGCTTGGTTTAGAAAATGTTGCTAAAACCTAAATGACCTTTATCTGTAGGCTTTGCCAAACAATGGAACTATATTGGTAATTTTCCGCTTAGATGTATGCCAGCCTTCAAAAGTACGTAATGTCAACACATAATGTAATATTAAAAACTGGACCTATATTGTCGATTCTCTGAATGCTAAACTCCAATAACTCGAAATGGCAGAGCGCAGCATATTTGCTGTGAAAATGAGGCTAAAATAATGGGGTTTATATCAACATTTTTTCCTAAATATGTATTTCAACCTCCAAGAACTTATAGAATTTGGAAATCTGCAGAATATCGAAATTGGGGATCTGTTTTAAATATTTCGGTCTCAATCTTGATTCCATTATACAGACATGGTTGAATTGGTACAGAATTTAATTTTGGTTAAGAATACAAAGAAATTATGGGGTCTGCGACGAATATTTTGAGATATTAATTTTGGGAGCATTCGTGATATTTTCCAACTTGATCCATACATTTTACTTATACTACCCTAGCACATACTTTACATCCATAAACACGACAATTGCTTTTAACACTCTCCCCTACCACAAAAAAAACACATACTTGAAAAGTACAATTACTTTGAAAGGTTTGAAAACTCTGTAGTAATTCATCTAGCATTTCCTTCCGGTTGTTAGGGGGTAGCAAAAAATCCCCCCTACATCCAACAACTTATACAGTGGTTGTCGTCCCTCTTCTACTTTTTCGTAGTGAGGTTTCTTTCACGTTATATATGAATGCATGTATTTTTTTAAGCAATTTAATATTTGTTTGCCGTTTCATATAGAAATTGTTAAAAAGAAGAAGAAGCTCAATTTCTATCCGTAAGGTACGCTGTAATTCTCTCGGTCATTACACACACTCTTGTTGTATTTTTTTTACAAATTTTTGTTATAGCCAAGTCAACAAAACGCAAAAAATGAAAATAACTAAAACATAATAAAGAAAGAAACAAAACTTCGGAAGCAGCTTTTCATCCTATTGCATCCTGGACCTGCGGTTATGCTATTCTCGATATTTTCGTACGACATGCAACTTCCTTACCGCAGATAGCTGCTGAAGCAATGGATGTTTTGTTGGTCGGTTGCTTGGTTGGCTCGCTGGTTGACTGGCTTCTTGTTGCTGTACAAACCACAAATAAAATGTTCCAACAAAAAGCCAATTTAAAAGCAGCGGTAACAGCAGCAGCGGATGAAAAGCAGGTGCTACCATTACTCCGTGTGCAACGACGACGATGGCACACTTAGCATACCGAAGAAAGACACGGTCGGTCACAAGGACATGCTAAAGAAAGAGTTTTGTTCGCCAAACCGATGCTACTACGGTTTTGTTTTGTTGATTGCAAATATTCTTCTTGTTCTTCTTCCTGGCTTTTTGTTTGGCCAATGAAAGGAATATAAGGGAATATTTCTATCGCTGTTACACACACACACAATACCCGCTGTAAGTAATATCCTTCTATTTTCGGTGGTAAAGTAAAATAATTTTAAGCATTCATATCTATGGCAAACGACCCACAACAACTGGCTCTTCTATGGGACTTTATTCTATTGTTGGCCCTACCAAAAAATTCCGGATTTTTCTGGCCAAAGAAAATATTTGCATTTTATTGCAGGATAGTATGTCGGTCGAGTCGAGGCTTTTGAGAAAATGAAGCATGACAGTGCCGGTTGAAATTTTCTTCATGGATATTAGTCGTCATTGTCATGGAAATGAAGGTAGTTATGATGGTGGTGGAGGAGAGGGAGGAGCGATAGAGCTATGCAGCTAAGAATAATCTTACGTTTATTTATACAATGCAATTTTTGTGTGCTTAAATAATTCTGAGTTTTTTTCTGCTCCTCTATTAATATTTTAAAATTTTCATTTGACACAAACGAATTTCACTTGCAGATTTTGTTTGCATTATAATGCCAGGCAGTGGATAAAAATGGCGTTATTTATTGCATTCATTTGTAAAGAGTGGGAGGAGGGTGGTTTCTATGATGTTTAGAGTGTGGCTTATGAGATAAATGTCCATTGGAGCAATTAAAATTTCCTAAGAAGTAAATGAATAGTGGCTATGGAGAATTTTTCTATTGAGTGTCACTGAATCAGTGAGCAATGACTATAGAGTCAATGGGCATTGACTATAGAGTCAATGGGCATTGACTATAGAGTCAATGACCATTGACTATCGAGTCAATGAGTATGGACTATAGAGTCAATGAGTATTGACTATAGAGTCAATGAGTATTGACTATAGAGTCAATGAGTATTGACTATAGAGTCTATGAGTATTGACTATAGAATAATCAATGCTCATTGACTATAGAGTCAATGAGCATTGACTATAGATTCAATGAGCATTGACTATAGAGTCAATGAGCATTGACTATAGAGTCAATGAGCATTGACTATAGAGTCAATGAGCATTGACTATAGAGTCAATGAGCATTGACTATAGAGTCAATGAGCATTGACTATAGAGTCAATGAGCATTGACTATAGAGTCAATGAGCATTGACTATAGAGTCAATGAGCATTGACTATAGAGTCAATGAGCATTGACTATAGAGTCAATGAGCATTGACTATAGAGTCAATGAGCATTGACTATAGAGTCAATGAGCATTGACTATAGAATCAATGAGCATTGACTATAGAGTCAATGAGCATTGACTATAGAGTCAATGAGCTTTGACTATAGAGTCAATGAGCATTGACTATAGAGTCAATGACCATTGAATATAGAGTCAATGACCATTGACTATAGAGTCAATGACCATTGACTATAGAGTCAATGACCATTGACTATAGAGTCAATGACCATTGACTATAGAGTCAATGACCATTGACTATAGAGTCAAGACCATTGACTATAGTCAAACATTTAGACAGATTTCCTAAATGGTTGTAAAAAGGACTCCGTTCAGCTCGTGTTTAAAAAAGTACCTTAATCTTGTGTATAAAACTACCTCTTATATGAGTATACAGAAGAGCCTCTCAGATTGTCGAAAGAAGTCCTTCGTCTATAGAAAGGTCCTTACTATTCAACTTGTCTTTAGAAATCCCCCGGTTCACTTTGTCTGTAGAAGACTCTCAGCTTCAACTTGTCTATAAAATCGTTCAGCTCCTCAACTCTTCTTTAAAGTCCCTCTTAGTTCGTATATAAGCACTCCCAGGCCTCCAGCTCTTCTATACAGGCCTTCGCTCGTCTATAAGAACTCCCTGCACTAGCTTGTTTATACGACCCTCTACTTTATCACGTCTATATGGACTCTCTGTTTCAGCTCATGCATAAATACTCGTAGCCCTTCAGCTCGCCTTTAAATCTCTCAGCCCATCAGATCTTCTATGAACACTCCCAGTCCTCCAGCTCGTTTATAGAGCACCCACAGCTTCACTTCGTCTACTGAAGAATCTCTGGTTCGGCTATTCTATAAAATACCCCAGACCTTCAAGATGACTTCCTGCCCTTAAGCTCTTCTAGAAAGTCTCCCTTCTGCAGTCAGTCTATACAGTCTCCCATTCCAGTCTCGTCTACAAAAGACATAGCTCTTCTATAGAATATCCTTTCATATCGCCTATAAAAACGTTCCCTCAGATCTTTTATGGAATTGCTCGTCTATTGAAGATACACAGACCTTAATTTCAGCTATTGAATACCCTCTGATCTTCATCGCGTCTATAGAAGACTCCCCGGTAATCAAATCTGTTCTACCTCTATTCCTCGGTTCACTCAGATCTCCTCTATCGATATATCATTGCCTTCAGTCCTCTGTACACCCTGTTACCTCTGTAGAATACTCTTGTCCTCTCCCTACCTCACCTATAAAAAAACCCATTTGCCTCAGCTGACCCCAATTAATTTCCACCCTCCCATTTTATAATTCAATTAATTTTTTTCTTAAACAAAAAAAATCTGCAATAATATCCCTTATCGAAAATTATCTTCTCCTTCCCTTACGTTGATGAATATTCTTCATTTATTCAACTATTTAAATCTGGTGCATTTAGTGCATTTGAACTGAAAATAATAATTCCAACACCTCTCCGAACCATTTCTGTGTGTGTGTGTGTGGCGTCATAAAACACCTTTAAGCGCAATTTGTAATTTAAGAATGTGAATAAATGTTTATTAAACGGGAATGCAAAACCTTATAATTTAAAATTGTATATGCACACCCATTGCCACCTACAAGTTAAATGTGTCTACAGGAAACGGATATACCATACACCAGCAGCAGCAGTAGTAGCAGCAACACCACTACTACAACTACAGTAGCTGTGGCGGCAAGCAAACCAAACAGCGAATGAAAAACGCTGTATTTAATTGCTTTTAGTTTACTTCATTTTTAGCTACTCTCAATTCTGTTTCTTTATTTTTAGTTTTGTGTTTTGTTTGCATTACTCATCTCCCTCACTATTTTTTGCTTTCTTTCATTGCAGGTTTGGCGTCATCCCTGGCGCCGTTCATATCATAAACGCAGGAAGGCTCAGTGGGAAACTGATGCTAACTATTGTTCTATGGTAAGTTTTTATTAAAAAAAAGTTGGTTCTGGTCTTCTTGTTTTTGGGCTTGCATATTTTTTTCCTTTTCTTGGTTTTAAGCTTCCTTTTCTTTTAGGACTATCGTCATCGTCGTCGCCGTCGTTGTTGTAATGTTGATGACAATGAACCGTGTTGAATTTCGTGGGGGGTTTTGAACTCTTTTTTTGTGTTTTCTATGGCTATGACTTCGTTGCTTCTTCCCGGTTTGCTACGTCGCTTTCCTTTGCTAATTTCCATTAATTTAAAAACAAATAAAATGCTAAAATAAGATGAGCAAATAAAGAGAACACCATGTTGCGCAAAAAAGCAGACGAGAAAAAAGGCAGGCTAGGGGGGAAAGAAAAGAAATAAAATGGTTAAAAACACACCGTATAGCCTCGAAGACCTGAAACCTTATAAAGAATAAAAAAGCAAGGAAAACAAAAGACAAAGAAATGGCGAATCAGAAAGCTGTTAAGACAAACGAAAATGAACGTAAACTAACTGCCGCAGTATTAAAAATTTAATATGCCACTTATAATGTTGCATTAAAGTTAAATGAAAAATCTACAAGGTTTACTTGGTTAACGTCGTCGTCGCCCGCTAACAAGGAAATTAAAAACGGTATTTGATGGCCAAGAAGAGTAATGTTGGCATAAACTGCATTCATAAAAGCCAAGTTATGGTTTGAGCTTCGTTTTTCTGTTTTTTTACACTCCTTTTGTTCGTTCGACTAGTGGTATTGGGGGTTTTCCTTTTTGCTCTTTCCTTTTTCATTATTTTGTGTCGTTGTCTTTGTCGTCTAGTTTTTTGTGCGCTACTAGCTAGGAAAACATTTAATTTAAATCAAATGTAATAGCTTTCGAAATAAAGTAATTAGTATGGATTTCATATTGAGCACAGACAAGGAGAATGTTAAGGAGTGTTACCATCCATAATTGGCAACTGCCAGCGGGTGAAGGAATGCAGTAGTAGGACGCCAAAGGGAGTGGTATACAAATGAGTATTTGTTAACAATTTCAAAAGAAAATAAGACAACCTCTAGTTCGATATATGTAAACATTTGCTGCATTCAGTTCCTCACAGAATTGTCACGACTTTCAAACCGCCTGTAAACTCTTCCGTCAGAGAGTTGTTCTGCAAAAATCCTACTATTGGCCCGCAACTCGTATATAAAAACGCTCGTCTCCCCTTCCTTTAGTCAGCGGATTATGGGACATTATTTATGTTTCAAAAATTACAGAAGGGCCGATTACTTCCCCCAGTTCGACCTTAAAAAACTTTCATAGAGATTTTATATCCAACAGCATTAAGATTCCTTGTTACCATCTCCTCACAAAAATTCCAAACCTTTCATCCCATCGGGAAACACTCCCATGCAACAAGTCCATAATACTTAATCTGCTCTTCGGGTACTCTGCATGTTTCCTGCTATGAAATTCCCTGGCTACTGGTATTGGGGGTTTTCCTTTTTGCTCTTTCCTTTTTCATTATTTTGTGTCGTTGTCTTTGTCGTCTAGTTTTTTGTGCGCTACTAGCTAGGAAAACATTTAATTTAAATCAAATGTAATAGCTTTCGAAATAAAGTAATTAGTATGGATTTCATATTGAGCACAGACAAGGAGAATGTTAAGGAGTGTTACCATCCATAATTGGCAACTGCCAGCGGGTGAAGGAATGCAGTAGTAGGACGCCAAAGGGAGTGGTATACAAATGAGTATTTGTTAACAATTTCAAAAGAAAATAAGACAACCTCTAGTTCGATATATGTAAACATTTGCTGCATTCAGTTCCTCACAGAATTGTCACGACTTTCAAACCGCCTGTAAACTCTTCCGTCAGAGAGTTGTTCTGCAAAAATCCTACTATTGGCCCGCAACTCGTATATAAAAACGCTCGTCTCCCCTTCCTTTAGTCAGCGGATTATGGGACATTATTTATGTTTCAAAAATTACAGAAGGGCCGATTACTTCCCCCAGTTCGACCTTAAAAAACTTTCATAGAGATTTTATATCCAACAGCATTAAGATTCCTTGTTACCATCTCCTCACAAAAATTCCAAACCTTTCATCCCATCGGGAAACACTCCCATGCAACAAGTCCATAATACTTAATCTGCTCTTCGGGTACTCTGCATGTTTCCTGCTATGAAATTCCCTGGCTTTATTTCATTCTTTGTCGGAAACATCTTTTATAGGACACTTCCTACCCTGAAAGTGTCCATAAAATCTCCCACGCCATCAGTATAGGACCCTCTGATATTTAGCTCTTATATATAAAACCTTCCATTCAGTTCTGCAGTTTGTGTATAACAGGTCCACAGCTTTTCGATCAGATTTTGTGATTTTCAACTCATCTAGAAGATACTTGACTTCCAGCTCGTTCATATACCCTCCCTGCTGCGTATTTCGCCTAGTGTGATTCGATTCTTCATATCGTGACCTGTAGAATCTAATAAAAAAATCTTGTACTGAAATTTCCACACCAGCTCGCCTATAGAGAAACCTGGGCTATCATACTCCATCCAGCTTATTTCTACAGATGATTCCTTTCAATTCTTGCCTATAAACGCCTCACTGTAGACGGATATCTTCATTGTTCGTATTCAGAATACTACCTGCAACTATAGTGGTTTATAGAGGTTCCTGACAGAAGCTTTCAATTTAAAGTCCCTATAGCTCGTATACATGGCCTCCCCTTAACTCGTGTTCAGAAAACTCTTTTCAACTCTTCTCTAAATACTTTATTCAGTATGTCAATTGGAGCTCCTATACAACTCAGTTACTCTGTCTCTCTATAGAATACTCTCTGCCTTTATTCCTTTGTATACACTGATCTTCATTCCCTCTATAGGAGGCTCAATGACTTCCGTCCTCTGTACACTCCTCACTTTTAATTCCACTATAGAAGACTGTTGCCTTCAGCTCATCTATATAACCCTCTCTGATACCTATATGTCTATCGGAATCCATCAGCCGTAGTTCATCTGTGCAAAATTCAACGCCTGTATACAGAAGGACCACTTGAGCTTTAGTCTGAATAAGACTCATCCTCCCCCATCTCTCGTATACAAAAAACTGCACGTCTAAAGGATACCCCGGCCTTCACCTCTTCCATAAAGACTCCCAGTTCTTCATCCCGTCTATAAAGACTTTCCGTCCTTCAGCTTGACTTTAAAGACTACCTACACTTCAGCTCGACTATGATTCAGTTCGTTTATAAGGACTCCTAGCTCTTCAGCTCTTCCATAAAGACTCCCAGTTCTTCCACCCGTCTATAAAGACTTTCCGTCCTTCAGCTTGGCTTTAAAGACTCCTTACCCTTCAGCTCGACGATGATTCAGTTCGTTTATAAAGACTCTTAGCTCTTCAGCTCGTCTATAACGATTCTCCACCCTTCAGTTCATCTATAATAACTCCTAGCTCTTCAGCTCGTCTGTAAAAACTCCCTGCTTTTCGGCTCGACTAAAAAGACTCGCTGACTAATAGGACTCGTTCGTCTATAAAGCCATCCTGCCCTTCTCTTTAAAGGCATCTAGCGCATCACTTCTTCTCTAAAGACTACCAGCTCTTAAGCTCGTCTATAAAGACTTCCAGGTCTTCTATTCGTCTATAAATACTCCCTGCTTCAGCTGTCTACAAAAACTCTTTTCTTCAGTTCGTCTATAAAGCGTGTCTATAAAGACTCCATGACTCAGCTCGTACACAAGCAGTGTTGCCAATTTAGCACTTTTAGTGCTAGATTTAGCACTTTTTAAATTCGTTTAGCACCAAAAAAATTGATCTAGCACCTAGCACTTTTTTAGCATTTTTAATTTGATCCAGGATTTTTTCAAAATGTTTAGTATAACTCCAAAAAATGGTCGTTTTTCGATTTTTCATTGAAGTTTTCGTATGTTTCACATGGTGGATTTGATTTTCCAAGTGAGCGGAGCCATATAGTCGGACGGGGCTATCCATATAATACCCTACGTAACTACCGCAGGACATAAATTATCTGCGAAACTAATTGCCGCGTCGGTGAAAAATTCTGTGGGATATCTATTTCCTGGTGTTATAATAATATTACAATATCAGAATATAACAAGTATTATAAAAACCGATAACCTCCACCATAAGGATGACAATCAAAATATCTAAAATTAATTGGGGCTCCTAAGAAAAAACTCATGTTATGATAGGACGTTGAACATACCGAAAAATACGTGAGGAAAAGAAAGACATCTAACAGCGGAGCTACCGTTATATGGGGCTATAATTTGGAAGCGAGATTTAAAACCTAAAATATTAACTTGGGTCAATATTAATAATTTTTAGTGCGGAAATATGGTGATACCGTTATGGGAACCCAAAATACAGAATTAGAGGCAATTTGATTGGGAAACGTGTCAAAAATTCCCATGTCGTGGGGTACCATATTAGTCAATTACAGCCAATTCGGCGGGGAAACGTGTCAAAAATGCCTAGAATGGCAAATAACAGGGGTACCGTTATATAGAGGGTACCCTGAAACTTGGGCCAATATTAATAATTTTTGCTACGGACATTCAATGAGAACCCAAAATACATACCAAATTACAGCCAGTTCGATTGAAAAATGTTCGAATATTGGGGGGTACCGTTATATGAGGGCTAGACCAATACTTGGAACGAAATATGACAATACCAAACAACCTAGGAATATTAGCAACGACTGTGTAAAATTTCGTAAATACTGCGATCTCTATTATGATTTCAAAAGGCGGACATCCGTAAATCGACATAGACTTTTATTCTGATAAAGACTTTGTGGTGTCTCCGGTGAATATTTCGAGGTGTTGCAAACGAAATGCCAAATTTAATATAGACTCCACCTTATGGGGGTGTGGTAATGATAATACTATTCACTAATAGAATATGTAGACCCCTGTACATATTTACGAATAGCTCCCACTCTCGGTCCTTCTAAAATAAATGTATACGGCATAGAATGCACATTTTGTATTTTCCACACAAAAGTCTTGGCCAATTTGGCTCGATCAATGCTTATTCATTAGCGTTTCCGCCATATACAATTTTGTGACCTCTACAAGACCAGAAAAATATATAAAATGGTCGATTTTACCAAACACAATAAGTGTCCCCACTGGCCAAAACCGGATATACAAAATATCGAGTTTCATAGCTATGACCGTTACTTTGTTTACAAATGTTAATATACAGACGGACAGACACACACATATCGACTCAGCTAGTCGATATATGACGATCCGTATACTTATAATACCCTCACAACATAGCTGTTAATTTATATTTCCTTATTCGTATTTAAGTATACTAATAATTTTCTAAGAAATATAGATCTCATTATAAACTATAATAGAATTTCTTTATATTCATTTTTAGCACTTTTTTCTGGCACTTTTCTAAAATTTTTAGCACTTTTTAGCATATTTTTCAACAAAATCTAGCACTTTTTCTCTATCAAGTTTTGGCAACACTGTACACAAGAGACCCCGGTTTGAGTTCGTTTATGAAAACTACCACTCGTTACCTCGTTTATGAAAAGTTTTTTAAGACGTTATTCAACTCTCTTCAGAACATATCTATGACGACCCCTTTCAGCTCATTTTTAAATGCTACCTTCGTCTATAGAGACTTCCAGCCCTTTTGACTGAAGAATCCAAGCCTTTCAATTCCCTAAATACTCCCAGCCCACCAGTCTATAATTTATTACAGCTTAAGTTCGTCTATAAAGACACCGACTTTAGCTTGCTATAAAGACTCCATGCTTCCGCTCGCATATAAAGAGACTACTTCAACTCGAACATATATGAAGATACTAGCCATACTACCTTCGTCTATAAAGACTCTCTGTCTTTCAACACGCCATAAAGCCTATGGACCCTTCAGTTCGTCTAGAAAGGTAATCTTTAGCTAGTTTATAAACACTCTTCAGTGTAAGTTAATTTAAAAAATATTTTTTGAACACCCATAAATGGGTGGATTTAAAGGTGTGGATTTAAAAAACAAACTTTTTTTTGAAGATCCATAAAAGCGTGAATTAAAAAAAAAACAAATTGAAAATCTATTAAAGCGTGGATATTTAAAAAATTGTACTTAATTTTTTTGAAGCTCTATTATAGCTTGGTTTATCATGTTTTTCGAAAATCTATAAATGCCTATACTATAAGGAAACATTTTTAAAATATTTGCCAACTACATCGTCCATATATTCTCTCGTCCTCTTTTTCCTCTCATTCAGCTCTCTCTCTCTCTATACATTTTATTAAATTACTACTTATATAAATTTGTTGTTGTTTTTGTTAATTTCTCCTTACAGGTTCGTGATATACCACCCTATGATGAAGGACGACGTTTGCTTGACTTAATGGATATGTCAGTGTTTGATTTTCTGACCGGCAATATGGATCGTCATCATTATGAAACTTTCAAGTAAGTATACCAATCACTTATTTGGGAAAATTGTTTGGGAAAAAGGGGTAATAACTAAAAAAAAATATATACGAAAAACCCAAAAAAAAAAAAAATAAATTGCATTAAATTTCCTATAAATGGCTTGACAAGTGTGTCCTTGTTGTGGTTTTATGTGGCTCTTATATGATATTACCAAGAACTTCACTTGTATGCCAGCGGTAAGGCAGGCAGTCAGTGAGTGAGTCATGTTGTTGGATGCCCACATCGAGTTACCATACCAATTACGAATTCATACGAAAGACACACATTCAGCACTTTCCTTGAATGATGATGAAACGATGGCGGCGGTACACATACACACCCGCACCAACGGAACCCAAAACCATTGTGTCAGAACTTAAATGACATTCTGATATTACATTCAGTGGTGGTTTTTGGCTCGTGTCAGCACTTTCTTAAAATTCCAAATTGACAACAAAAATTTTTGTGTTCTGGTGTGCTGATGATGGTTTGGATTTCTTTGGTATTGGTGAAACCTTCAAAAGTGGAAGTGGGCAGAAATGTCACTCTGCTTGGTATGGTATACATAGGATGATTGGCATATATATGCATGTATGTGTGTATTCCTAGCTATCACTGATTTTCATAATTGATTTACTAGTTGCCAAAAGAATGACCACCAGAAACAAAACCCTGAGTTGACTTCAAAGGTCCGGAATATTTTGATATGTTCTCTAGCTGTTGTTGTTTTTTCTTAATTAAGCAAAGAGTTCAATGTGAATAACCAAATGGAATCAACATGGTTTTCCGGTTAGCATATGAAAAACTTGTGATATTAATTAGAGATGTGGGTATGGAAATCTGAAAGAGGTTAGTTGTAAATGGAAATGTGGTGTTTTTTAAAAAATACTTTTAGGTATTTCTTTATAAATTTATTTAATATGAATTGTATTATTTTACATACATATAATACCAAATTATATGTGTGTCACTTCTTGACATCTCTATTTTACATTGTAAGCTGACTTTTTATCAGGGCTATCGAGGGCTTTCATAAATGTTTTTCCTCTACTATTCTATAAATAATCAATAAATGCAAAAATATTTTTTTTTTTATTTTCTTGAATAAATTATGCTTAAGGTTACACATGAAAAAAGAAACAAGAACAACAAAATATTACATTAAACATGTATCAATTATTGAAATCAATTAATATTTAAAAAAATAGTAATCATGTCAATTGAAAATAAGTAAAAATTATGAATATAAACTAAAACAGGGTGAACATATTTGCCAATTATGTTTGCTGTTTTTTTTCATGTCTACTCAGATTAAAAAAAAAATATACATGATTATAACAAACAGATATTTTCTTATGACAGTACAGTAATTAAAAGTAAATACTTGATTAATAGCGTAAACTATTGTTTTTATACCCTTCACCACACTGTGGTACAGGGTATTATGTCTTTGTGCATATGTTTGTAACACGCAAAAGGAAACGAGATAGACACATGGTTCCTTTTTAGAATATGCATAGAATCACTTTCTAAGTCGATTTATGCATGTCCGTCCGTCCGTCCGTCTGTATGTCTGTCTGTGCATGTTAAATTGTAAACAAAGTACAGGTCGCATTTATGATCCGAATTGGATGAAATTTGGCATAGGTCACTTATTCGGCCCAAGGACGAACCCTATTGAAATTGGGAAAAATCGGTTCAGATTTAGATATAGCTCCCATATATATATTTAACCGATTTAATGTAAACGGTCCCTATATATCTTTCGATTTGCACGAAATTTGGTACAGCCTAATCATTTAGGTCTATAATGATGTATGCCAAGTTTCGAGAAAATCGGTCCAGATTTAGATATAGCTCCCATATATAGTTTCGTCCGATTTCATGTAAATGGTGCCCCAAAGTCCCTATATATCTTTCGATTTGTACGAAATTTGGCATAACGTACTGAATTGAGCCTAGAGTGATGTCTGCCAAGTTTCGAGAAAATCGGTCCAGATTTAGATATAGCTCCCATATATAGTTTCGTCCGATTTCATGAAAATGGTGCCCCAAAGTCCCTATATATCTTTCGATTTGCACGAAATTTGGCATAACGTACTGTATTGAGCCTAGAATGATGTCTGCCAAGTTTCGTGAAAATCGGTCCTGATTTAGATATAGTTCCCATATATAGGTTCGCCCGATTTCATATAAATGGTGCACCAAAGTCCCTATATATCCTTCGATTTGGACGGAATTTGGCATAACGTACTGAATTAAGCCTAGAGTGATGTCTGTCAAGTTTCGAGAAAATCGGTCCAGATTTAGATATAGCTCCTATATATAGTTTCGTCCGATTTCATGTAAATGGTGCCCCAAAGTCCCTATATATCTTTCGATTTGCACGAAATTTGGCGTAACGTACTGAATTGGGCCTAGAATGATGTCTGCCAAGTTTCGTGAAAATCAGTTCTGATTTAGATATAGCTCCCATATATAGTTTCGTCCGATTTCATATAATTGGTGCACTAAAGTCTCTATATATCCTTCGATTTGCACGAAATTTGGCATAACGTACTGAATTGAGCCTAGAGTGATGTCTGCAAAGTTTCGAGAAAATCGGTCCAGATTTCTATATAGCTCCCATATATAGTTTCGTGCGATTTCATGTAAATGGTACACCAAAGTCGCTATATATCTTTCGATTTGCACGAAATTTGGCATAACGTACTGAATTGAGCCTAGAGTTATGTCTGCCTTGTTTCGTGAAAATCGGTCCAGATTTAGATATAGCTCCCTTTTAATATAGATTTACTTTAAGTAATTGACGCACCAAGGAACCAATAGGCTGATAGGAACAAAACGTTCTGAAATTAGTATAACCTAACCTGTGACAAGTTTTTTTTTGAAATCGCTTAATATTTGGATAGAGCTTCCATATATATTTTCGCCCGATTTCAAGTAAATTGTTAGTCAGTTTGACATCAATTTTTGCACAACTTACAAAATTGAGCATAGAATTACGCAGTTGCGTTTTCTAGAATTACAGACATAGCCCAACGGATGACCTATTTATATTTGTTTGAACTCGATTTACATACTTTATGGATAGATCTAGGTAGATGCACATTTACATAAATATCACATATTTTATTTCATTCAATTTCATGTTAATAATCCTGTTTAATATACCTATAGTGGTGAAGGGTATTATATAGTCGACACCGTCCGACTTTACTACTTTCCTTACTGTTTTTTTTTATAAAAATATACATTTTTATCAAAATAAATAAATAAAAAGTCATCGAGGCTTTGTAGGCCAACTGAAGGAGTAAGAGTTTGTATGGACGAGCTGAAGGACTGGGAGACTTTATGGACCAGATGACGGGTAGAGAGGCTTTATTGACGAGCGGAAGGACAGGAAAAGTTTATAGACGAGCTGAAGTGCTGGGGACTTTATAGGCGAGCTGAAGGATTGGGAGTCTTTGTAAATGAGCTGATGGTTGGGGAGTCTTTATGCTCGAGAGCTATTGTCCTTATAACCTTTCTAGAGCAGGGAAACTTTTATAGGCGAGCTGAACGGTAGTAGTTCTTATAGATGAGCTGAAGGGCTGAAAGTCTCTGAAGACGAACTGATGGAAAGGGAATCTTTATAGACGTTCTGTAGACGACATAAAAGGCAGGGAGACTTTATAGACAAACTGTAGGGCAGGGAGTCTTGGTAGACGAGAGCTGGCAGACATCTTCTTGAAGTTCCATTAAAGCGTGGATTAAAAAATATATATTTTGTAATCTTCTCTTAAAGCGAGGTATATATATATATATATCTGATGCATGGCCGTCCGTCCGTCTGTCCATGTTAAGTTGTAAACAAAGTACAGGTCGCATTTAGGATCCGAATTGGATGAAATTTGGCACAGCTCCTTTGTTTGGACCAAGGAAGAAGCCTATTTAAATTTGGAAAAATCGGTTCAGATTTAGATATAGCTCCCATATATATTTTCGTCAGATTTAAGGTAAATGTTGTACCAAAGTCCCTATATATTTTTCGATTTGCACGAAATTCGGCACAGCGTAATGAATAAAGTCTAGAATGATGTGTGTTAAGTTTCGTGAAAATCGCTTCAGATTTAGATATAGTTCCCATATATATCTTCGTTCGATTTAAGGTAAATGGTGTACCAAAGTTCCTATATATCTTTCGATTTGCACAAAATTTGGCATAGCGTACTGAATTAAGTCGAGAATGATGTGTACACAGTTTCCTGAAAATCGGTTCAGATTTAGGTGTAGCTCCCTTATAAAGTTTTGCCCGATTTTAGGTAAATAGTCCACTAAAGTCCCTAGAGATCTTTTGATTTGCACGAATTTTGGCACAGCGTACTGAATTGCGCCTATAATAATGTGTGCTAAGTTTCATGAGAATCGGTTCAGATTTAGATATAGCTCCCATATATAGTTTCGCCCGATTTTATGTAATTGGTGCACCAAAGTCCCCATATATATTTCGATTTGCACGAATTTTGGTGTAGGGTACTGAATTAAGTCTACAATGATGTTGCTAAGCTTCGTGAAAAGCTAGGCCGATTGACACAATGTACTGAAGTAATATAAATTCGTCTTTGCCAAGTTTCCCTGAAATCGGTTCAAATATAGATATATAACAAAAACGCGACGTCTGTTAGGATACATATGTAGAATATACCCAAAGTGGTGTTTTTTTTTTTTGTGGATATATTAAAGCATGTTTTTTTAAATAGTGTTTTAAAAGATCCATTAAAGAGTGGATTTAAAAAGAATTTTGAATATATTAAAAAAATATTTTTTTAAGATCCATAAATACGTGGGTTTTTAAAATAATATTTTTTGGCGAATCATTGTTTTCCAGATCAAAATCAAAGCTTCGATTTTTAAAAAAATATGTCTAAATATCCATCAAAGCTTTTTAAAGAAAATTTTTTAGGTTCCATCAAAGCGTAGATTTAAAAAAAAATTAAAGATCTATCAAAGCGTGG